TAGCCAAAAATGATCTTTATGTACCCAAATGCCTGCTGGATGAAAAGTTAAACCTTTCTGAGAAGAGAGAACTAATGTATAAACACTATAATTTTTAAAAATATAACATGGCATTTAACCGAAAATCCACAGGCATGTCCAGAAAAAGAAACAAATTAAGTAAAAATAAAGAGAAACAACAGACAATAAAATACAGGAAATCCAGATATTGGAGTTATATGAAACAGACATTAAAACAATTGTGGTAGATGTCCAAGAAAATGAATAACAAAGAAATTCACCAGTGAATAACAAAAGTCTATTTATATATTATTAATTTCTTTTTTATTTAATAATTTAACTTTTTTTTTTTATCAAAGTGATCCATAAGTGTTAAAAGTCAAGTGGTAATTTGTCAGGCAGAAGTAGAATTAAAAAATAATTATCAAACAATTCTAAAAGATCAATTGCACCAAAAAAAAAGTTTTCTTTCCTCCTCTGCCATTCCGTTTCCCAACACTTACACCTTTCAAACACTTAGGTACCTCTTTGTATATTTATGTCCATATTTCTAAATAATTGATTTTTTAAAAAATTGATTTCTGATTAAAACATCTAACTGAAGGTTGAAGATACAATGCTCTTACGGTTTTTCCAATTCACACACATCCGTTCTGTTCTGATGGTCCCATATACGATTTTTACTTTGATCTCTATTGAGCTAAAATTTGTTTATTTCTATTTTATTTTACTTTACTTTATTTATTTTCGAGATGGAGTTTCACTCTGTCACCCAGGGTGGAGTGCAGTGATGCAAAATTGGCTCACTGTAGCCTCCATCTCTCAGGTTCAAGTGATTCTCCTGCCTCAGCCTCCCGAGTAGCTGGGATTAAAGGTACCCACTACCATACAAAACAATTTTTTTTTTTGTAATTTTGTAAAGACGGGGCTTTACCATGTTGGTCAGGCTGGTATAGAACTCCTGGCCTCAAGTGATCCACCTGCCTTGGCCTACCAAATGTGGGATTACAGTTGTGATCCAGAGCGCCCAGCCAAAATTTGTTTATTTTTAACAAATAATAAAATAGTGATTCTGGAACCAACCAAAAACAAACATGTAAAATGCACTCAAGAGATATGCTTAAAGCACATTGGACACAGCAGAAGAGATTAGTGAATGTTAAATAGGTCAGTAAAAAAATATCCTGCTAATGTGTGAGGAGAAGAAAAGGTGGGAACAGAGAGAAACAATATGAGAGAATTAGAGCACAGTGAATAGTCAAACACGTAACTGAAGTCTGAGAAGGAAAGGGGAGAAAGAGTGAAGTGAATGCAATACTGGCTAAGAATTCTCCAAAACCAATAAAGACATGAAGCCACAGATTCCGGAAGTTCTATAAACTCCAAACATGATATATGTAATAAAATCCACATGAAAGTCGTCATCATTAGCTTTCTAAAACCCAAAGACAAAATATTAAAAGGAGCCAGGTCCCTTCTCTTTCACACACACAATTGTTCCTTTGAAAGGAACAATTCACCTAATAGATTACTTTTCAACAAAAATTTAAAAAGCTAGTACAACTAACACTCATGGGTATCATCTTTGGTCCACTAAAGGAAAATAGCTATTCACTAAGTTCTGAATGCAGGGGACATGCCCGGTAAAAAGACAACTGAGCAATTTTTGCTTCTATGTTAGTAGGTTGGTGCAAAAGTAATTGGAGTTTTTGCCATTTAAAGTAATGGAGTTAGGGGGCAGTGGCTCATGCCTGTAATCTCAGCACTTTAGGAGGCTGAAACGGGTGGATCACTTGAGAGGTCAGGAGTTTGAGACCAGCCTGACCAACACGGTGAGGCCCTGTCTCTATTAAAAATGCAAAAATTAGCCCGGCATCGTGGCGGGTGCCTGTAATCCCAGCTACTTGGCAGGCTGAGGCAGAATTGCTTGAACCCAGGAGTTGGAGGTTGC